CGGGGCCGGCGCTCCCCCCCGCCCCCTCCCGCCGAGTGCCGCGCGCCCGGCGCTCCCCCCACCAAGCGCACTCTCCCCGCAAGCGCCCATGCGCCATGTGCCCGGGGCCAGGCCAGCCCCGAGCACCTGGCGGGCGCATTGAAATGATAATATATAGTCCTGCCACAAGTGCATTGCACTAGACTAGATGACCTCTTGACTAGACGAGATGACCCGTCCAGTCCTATGACTTTATAATCTATTACAAATGTGTTTACATTGGGGAATGCCTACTAGCGAAAATGCAATCATTCTGGACTGCTGGTGGGAAAGGGCCATTAGGGAAAACAACAGGTCTTTGAAGATGCTAATCTCCCACCGGGTAGCCTTCCTGGGGACACTGTAAACAGCCTTTGAGTTTTCACAGGATTATGTGACCAAGTCACTTCATACTGGACTCTATGACAATACTAATATTTTTCCACTGGCGGGGTGGGACTCACCCTGAGTGATAAAAGGTTCCCACTATATGCAAAAACTATTTAAGGCAAGGGAGTGACATCATCAGGGTAGTTCTTCATTGATTCTCCGACCAAGACAAAGGACTGAGCCACAGTTCCCTCTAAACTGTGCAGCAGCACGGCCCCATAGCTGCTTAATCAGCTCCGCCCAGTCAGGGACTCAGGGCTCTGTGCACAGAGCTGCCTGGCTTGGGGGAGGGACATTTCTCCCCCAGTTACAGCAGCAGCTCCCTGCTGAGGACAGAACACTGAGTCTCTCCCAGCAGATAGTGAGGAGTCTTGTTTCATTGCTTTTCCAACAAACTTCAATGAGATTTAGCACATTCTTAAAGTTCATCTGCTTCGCTGAATAAGGGACTGATATATTAAATTGTCTTTGTTCAGGTTGAATCTCATTTGATTTTTATATGACTATTTCTGCCTATTAGAAACCCCTTTCTATTGTTTATTTCACTGGTGTTTGCTATAGACCCATTTTAGTATCCTTTGTTAAATATATTAACATATTTTATCCTCTTTTTCCAATTAAAGAATAAGTTGCTAAATATTATTTATTTGAATGAATAGAATACATTTTGGAAGTCTTTAAGTAGGTGCATTACTTTACCTGAGACATGGGATACTGTCCTTCATCATTCCTTCGCATGCCACAGTGTTGGTACTGCCCGACAGGCTCTTTAAGGAAGGAAGCTGGGACGAGGCATCTGGAAATGGAGGAATTATTTCTGGTTCAGGAGTGATGATATCTTCTACTTCATACTGAAGTCGCACCTCTAATGACTGAAGTAAATAAAAATCTAAGTTACAATTTATTAAAATGAGCTTAGATGTAATTGCTTTTAAATAGCACTAACTCTGCGTCTAACAATAAAAGCACATTTATCATTGCTTTTTGCTATTACAGAAAATGATTACTCATTAACATCTCAACCCCAATAGCTGAAAACAACCCATCTGTCTCCAAACCAGTAAAGAAATACTCAGATGTATGCTTCCATCACTGACTGTGACTCAGGCCCTGTCTGGAGGGTGAAAGAATGCAAGCCAGCTGGGGAGCAGGGCTGGGGCTTACCCTGCTCTACTTTGCCCCATGCTCGGTTGGGGAGCAGGGCCACAGCTTTCTCTGTTCCACCCCAGCACTCTGACCAGAAAGGGCACCCAAGGCTTACCACCCCCATCCTTCCTGTCCTGCTCTCCCTGCCCCCTATTATTCTCCACCCACCTGAAGTCAAGGCCCACCCAAGTGGGCCCTTTTGGCTACGCCACTGTGATGTATGCCTTTCCAAATGATTTTTGAGTATCTTGCAAAGGCATCTCCTGCTGGGGGTGTCCTGGAGATTACCATGACCTTATTCAATGACCTTTTGCTGTATTTATAAAGATAGAAAGTCTGTTCTCTGATGTCTCATCAAAAGTTTAGTCAAGGAGTCATAGCAGGGAAGGACTGATACTGTGATAGACTGGGGAATTTCACAGCCCCTTTCCCCAGAAGCTTTCTGTTGACCCATTTAGATAGACGTGGTCTTGGCTCTCATCTCAGCTAGACATCCACCTTATCCCCATAAGGGGAGGGTGAACCTGAGCAGGAAGGAATAATCACAGGTGCAAAAGGGCAGAAAGAGCCTGATATAATGCTTATACCACCATCTGGAAACCTACAGAGAAAATTACTCACCTTGTGCAGCAATGGGAGATGTGTCCCCCCCGGGTGTTCCACTCTAAATGCTGGTGCATCCTCATGCAGGTGACTTGATATTTTTTTCTAGCAGTGTCCTACCGCGCTGCGCATGTGCATGCATATTGGTGTCTCCTCGTGCCGTTAGTGTCCGTTAGTTGTGTGCACCGCACCTCCATTCCTTCTCTTCCTTGGTTATAGTCCCAAAGAAGCTCCAAAGTGGAGGAGGAGGGAGGATAGTGGATCTTCCACAGGGACAGCATCTCAAAGAGCACCTGTTACTGCACAAGGTGAGTAACTCTCTCTTCTTCGTCAAGTGATGTCCCTGTAGGTGCTCCACTCTAAGTGGCTAAAGAGCAGTGTCTGTCCCATGGAGGCGGGTTTTAGAGCCTGCCCCAGTAACTATGGATAGTACTGCCTGGCCCACTGATGTTGTTGGAATTAGGCTGGAGGTCAGGACACAGTGTTTGGCAAAGGTGTGCTCAGAGGACCAGGTTGCCACTCTGCAGATGACCCCTAGTGGGATGTTGTTCAAGAACATTGTGGTGGAAGCCACCACTCTGGTGGAATGAGCTGTGATAACTGATGGTGGTTGCTTGTTGTGAATGGTATAATAAGCATGGATACACAAGGAGATCTATTTGGATATTCTCTGGGAGGAGACTGCCTGTCCCTTTGAGAGTTCTGCAAATGAGATGAAGAATCTTGCTGGTTTCCTACATGACTTTGTTCTATCAAGGTAAAAGGCAATTGCTCGTTGGCAGTGCTCACCCTTGAGGCATTCGCTGCCAAGGGCAGGGACTTAGCCAGAGAGATCCTAGCCTTCATCTTTGCCCTGTCTGATGAGGAGGAGGGATGGTTTTTGTCCAAACTATGGACATTTTCCCTCTCTTCAGGCTGCGATGATGGAGAAGAGTCCTCCCAAGTCGGTTGAAGTGACTTTTTGTAAAGTAAAGTCTTTAGACTACTCACTCAGTCCTGCCTAGGCCCAGGGCTGTCCTTACCATGAGGCGAACTGAGGCGGCTGCCTCAGGTGCCAGACTATGGGGGGGGGGGGGCATGCCACTAGGACCCAGAGTGTAGAAAATTGTGTCTGCCACTGGTGCAGTGAGGAAGCATGGGGGCATCATTTGAGCTCCCTGTCTCAGGTGCCAAAATGTTGTGGGCTGGCCCTGCCTAGGCCTCGCAGTCAGGTTGGAGCAATGAGGACATTTGTCCTTCTCCTAAACACTTTATACACATAGAATGCCCGTCAGAGGTGGTTACTATGTCTCTACATGAGTCACATCACGTAAAGCTTGGTGAGTCAGGCATGGTGAAGCGAGGAAAAACTCGGGTGAAGATTTTATTTTTAATGAAAAAACTATGACGAAGGGTCAAAACTTGGAAAACAGGAAGAACTGAGGAAATTTAAACATTTTTTCATTGGTTTAGGTGAAAGAAGGATGACTGAGAAGGAGCTCTGTCTGCTGCCAAGGACGGTAGAGAAGGAACTGATGTGCTGTGCCACATGTGCAACTAATGGATACTAACGGCATGAGAAGACACCAGTGCACATGCACAACATAGTAGGGCACTGTTACACAAAAATCTCTGGTTGCCAGCATGAGGATGCACCAGCACCTAAAGTGGAGCACCCACGGGGACCATGACTCAAAGAAGAACTATTTTTCTGGGGCAAAGAGCTGCATGTCTGGGACACAGAAAGGAACAACTGATGAAGGAAGGTATGAGAGGTTTGGTAGAGATGGCAGTGCCCAAAATTCAGCAGATCTAACTGGATGTGCCATCTGGAGAAGAAACTATGGTAAAACAGCTGTTCTAAATTGGAGACAAAATTTGAAATGTGCAGTATTGGATTTACACGTATTATTACATTCAGCGAAAATGCCATTCCTTGTGGCAAATCAGCTGAAAAACAGAATAGTGGGAAAAAATGCAGGTAACAAGTATGGCAGACTTGAAGCTCCTAAGAACACTGAGATGTAATAATGTTATGAATATTGCATGTAATGTGGCCAGTGAAGTAATTTTACTGTGTATTGAGTGGTTTGATTTTCCTGCAAGAATATTCTGATCTAGCTTTATAAGGTACTGTGGGAAAATTAAGCATGAAAGTGACAATAACTAAAAATAAGCAAACCTCACTGTGAAACTGCACCCCCTAGTCCTCACAGTGATATTGTGATACAATATGACAAGATTGTTTTATGCAAGATAAGTCATGTGAGATGTCATTGGAAAGATTATGATTTGCTGAATATAATATTTCTATTTGTACACATGTATCATTTTTATGTGAAGCCAGGAATATAGACTATGTATCATTATTTCAAATGTAGTAACACCTCAGGAATGGCCACTAGACAAGATGCTTCAGCCTAGATACTGGGTGGGAAAGGGCCATTAGAGAGAACAGGCATTAGAGGAAGCTTATCTCCCACCTGGAGATCTTCCTGTGTATGCTACAAACACCCTCTTTAGACTCCAACTTAGGATGCCAGTAATTTTCTAAAGACTGGTCTGGAACCCAAGTTTTGAAATGAATTAACACAGGCAAGAGCTATATAAGGCAGAGAGTGCCATCATGTGGGGTCTTTCACTCTCCACACAAAATGACTCCTAGAAACACCTGAGTAACAAAGACCAAAGTAGAGGAAATGCTGGACCCAAGCTAAAGGGATTTTTAGCCTGCAAATGGAACTCCTGGGCTGTGTCTACATTGGCATCCCTTTCCGGAAAAGGGTTGCTAATGAGACACATCGCAATTGCAAATCCGCGGGGGATTTAAATATCCCCCGCGGCATTTGCATTTACATGGCTGCTGCTTTTTTCTGGCTTGGAGATAAGCCGGAGAAAAGCGCCAGTCTAGACATGATTCTCCGGAAAATAAACCCTTTTCCGGAGGATCTTTTATTCCTAGTTAAAAGTGCAGTTTGCCCCTTAAGAATCTGCAGCCTGCCTGTATCATCACTTAGGGTAGGGATGGAAAATGTACACCCCACGGGCCATATCTGTCCCCTGCTTCCCTTGAATGTCTCGCAGGACTCCAGGCTCTCCCCCACCTGGCTATGGGGGAAAGCAGCAGGGAGCTGGTGCTAAAGCCCCTTTGTGGCCCTGCTTGGCGGGGAAAAGGAAGTGGCTCTGTATAGTCCTGTTCCCCCTCCCCATCCATATGGGGGAACAGCAGCATAGGGAAAGTAGGGCAGGGGCCTGGAGGCTTTTCCCCCACTGCTACCATTGGCCAGGAATTGTGGCCAATGGGAGCAGGGCCACATAGAGCCACATGTTCTCCTCAGGAGCTGTACCAAGTAAGTGCCCCAATCCCTTGGTCCCTCCAACAACCCACCCCACTCGTGCAACTTCCTGCAAATAGGCAGCAGGTTTAAAACAAACAAAAGGACTCAGCACACAGTCAATCTGTGGAACTCCTTGCCAGAGGATGTGGTGAAGGCTAGAATTTTAACAGGGTTCAAAAAAAGAGCTAGATAGATTCATGGAGGTTATGTCCATCAATGGCTATTAGCCAGGATGAGTAGGAATGGTGTCCCTAGCCTCTGTTTCTCTGGAAGCGGGTGACAGGAAAGGGATCAGATGAGGATTACCTGTTGTGTTTCTGGGGTATCTGGTATTGGTCACTGTCAGCAAGACAGGATACTGGGCTGGATGGACCATTGGTCTGACTCAGTATGGCCATTCTTATGTTCCCCCTACCAATAGCCCACTCCTGAACCCTATCTCCTACCCAGACCCCACCCGCTCGTGCACTCTTATCACCCAGACCCACCTCCCCCACCGTAGGCCTGCTCTCACACCTTACCTCCTGTCCAGACCCGACACTCTTAGCTCACTCCTGCACCCTAATTCCTGCCCAGACCTTGTATCCTCCAGCCCACTCCCCATCAGTCCTTTCACACACACTGAATCCCTCATTTTTGTCCCCAATCCAGGGACTGTGGGGGGGGGGGAAGGGGGGTTTACAAAATCTACTAATTCTGAGTTCCAAAAAAAGTTAATCCAACTCTGGAGGGAAGCCCTAAGCCTCAGCACCTCCACCCCATATCTAACCTTATAGCCATGGTGTCCAACCAGTTCAGAAGCAGAGTGGCTATTGCTATAGAGAATTAGCTAAACTCAATTAGTCAAGTAGCCACATTGTTCAAGCCAACTAGCCACACCTCAACTGGCCAAATAGCCGTATTGTTCAAGCCAACTAGACACACTCAACTGACCAAATAGCCACATGTAGCTAGTGGCCAGTGTGTTGGACACATTGAGGCTGGAGTGTGAGGGGAAATCTGTTGCCTTGAGTCCATGAGTGAGGTGAATGTCTTTTTCTTTCTGCTTCTCAGCTGGGGGCCACATCAGCAAGGGATTTTTCTCCTCCTCACTTGGGGAGTCAGATCAGTGAGGGAATCCATCACATTCCCAACAAGCATGTGCAAGGGAGAAAGGTGGGTAATTACAGAATAATGGCATACTCCTAGGATCCAGACCAAATTGACAAAGGAGTTTTGTCATGATGGGAGCCTAGAGCTTGAAAATATCCTGAAGAGTAAAAAGGCTTCTCAAGGGAAGGAGGAGTGTCAATTGCTAGGCATGCCCTGTGGACAAGTTGAAAGAGGGAGATCTGCAGAAGGAGCATGAAGAAGCTGGGCCTTCCCCAGATCTAGGGAATGCAGTTCTCAACCTTTTTGGCCTGAGGGTCACCCCGTGCAATGCAAAACTTTCTACTGACCACCAGCCAACCACCCATGATGATAAAATGCCTTCAATTATCTCTAAATACCGTAAATACTAAATTATGCATATTAGGGATACTAGAGCATAAAAATGTAAATATGCAGCTATAACATAAGAAGGTGAATATAACTGGTAAAAAAGGAAATATTATTAAAAATAATTGAACAGATTAAGTGCTTTAAATGTATCATGTTAAGTTTACCAAACTTCCTTTTAAATACAGAAAAATATTAATTTATGTCCAAAACAAAAGATTTCAACATTGTCTTTATTTATGGAAGAGATAGGGAATCTGTTTTAGGTCAGGGGCTCAAAAAAAAAATTCAGGAAAATGTTAGATTACTTGTATTATAAGCATTATGAAGATAAATTAAAAGCCATAAACTCTTTTGAGTTAAAACAGTGATATTACCGTGCAATGAAATAAACTAACATATAATATTAAAGTGGCACAGCTAACTGACCTTGTATATTAGTGTAAAATTATTTACTGAGAATAAATGGTCTGTTTTTGGGTGCCAAAAATGTATCTCAAATTATAAAAACCATAACATGGTTCAGCACCAAGCATTTCTGGAGCAAGCAACCAAAACAGAGACCCATCCTAATGGCTTGGAAGCAGCCTAAGCCTTGACTTATATTTTATTCCTATTGCAGAAGGATGGGATCAAGGCCCAGTAAAATCCATATGAGTTTTGCCAGTGACATCAGTGGGCTGAAGATTTCATCCACAATGTTTAAAAATGAATGCTCCTAAAATTTATTCTTGGACAGTTTAATAGTTTTATTCAGATACATAGGTTGAGTGGCCTCACATGAGGCACTCAAATTTGAAAATGATGGTCTATATTATTTACCATTTTCAATCAACATCATATGTGAACAAAACTTTTAACAACTTACCACTATTTCAGTATTCACTTCGTGTCTGCTGAATCTGTAAACAACAACATATGCAGAGACTCCTGCCACACAGAATATTCGGCTTTCAGGACACCAGTGCATCATCTGAATGGCAAAAGGATCTTCTTCTACAATCTCAGCTGTTGGTTTTCCTTCTCCTAGCTTCTGTTTTTCAAAAACTTTTGAGGTTTTTAACTTGTACAACATCTGTAGAGTTACTGAAAAATATTACAACACATCTAAAATTATTGTTTAATATTAAACAAATCTATACCTCACTTCTAGTTATATGGTGTCTTAGCAGCTACTGCAAAATACAGGACTATGTAGCACTTTAAAGACTAACAAGACTAACAAGATGGTTTATTAGATGATGAGCTTTTGTGGGCCAGACCCACTTCCTCAGATCAAATAGTGGAAGAAAATAGTCACAACCATATATACCAAAGGATACAATTAAAAAAAATGAACACATATGAAAAGGACAAATCACATTTCAGAACAGGAGGGGGATGCAGGAGAGGGGGGAAAGGAAGGAAGGTAAGTGTCTGTGAATTGATGATATTAGAGGTGGGGAGAGTGGGATGTTTGTGAGTTAATGGTATTGTTTGATATAATGGTTAATGGTATTGTTTGATATAATGGTTAATGGTTTGTGAGATATAAATGAGTCTTTGCATTGACACTGAAGATTCCTGCGCATCCAGAAATATAATTTATGCTATCATGTGCCGAAAGTGTCCGTCTGCTATGTACATTGGACAAACGTCTCAGACACTTCGCCAAAGGATCAATGCCCACAAAACAGATATTAGACAGGATCAGAAAGAAAAAACAGTTTCTTGCCAGAAAGGACACTGTCTCAACGACTTAATTACCTGCATCCTGCTTCAGAAGCCTTTTAAAACTGCACTTGAAAGGGAATCCTCTGAACTGTTATTCATGCCAATCTAGACGCGCTTTTCCGAAAATGCTTTTTACGTAAAACTTTTCCGTGAAAAGCATTTCCGGAAAATCATGCCAGTGTAGATATAGCCTTAGACTTAGGCACTTACTCAACAGTTATATTGCAGGAGATGCTGTGCTGCAAGATAGACAGACTGTTGGTGCTTTCTTCCCTATGAGATATTTAACTGGTATCTCTTTTGCCTGACAGTAAATGTTATCTTGGTAGACATTAAAGATTCTATGGCACTTTCAGGGTAAAAGATAGGCGACATTTCTGGTTACCTGGCCAGCTCCAAGCCTGTAAGATAACACAGTGATTGCTCTGTCTGCAGAACCACTGCAGTTTTATCTGAAGAAGTGGGTCATGCCGACGAAAGCTCACATGATACCATCTACATTGCTGTTAGTCTCTAAGGTGCTCAAGACTATTCATTATTTTTTAAGTTTTTTTCATTGCCGTTTGATTATGTTGTAAAATGCTTTGAATATTTTAGCTATGAAATCATAATTTAATATTTACAGTGTTTTTATAATCAATGTTTTATATTTATAGTACTATATAGATTGGCAATGTTCAAAAACTCAGTTCAGGACTGCTCAGGGTCCCCGTTCCAAAGTCATTAGAATCTAAAAGGTATGAAATGTGCTATAACTAACCACATTCTCCTCTATTTGCAAAATCTTTTACATCAGTATAGTTTATGCAGAAAAAACATGGCAATCATATTTTCCTAAAATGTCTCCACCATCAGGATCAATTTTAGCGCCTAACTATTAGTTTTACACCAGTATAATTGCATTGACTTTAATGGAGTTACTCCAGATTCAAGTGGTGCAAGAAAAATAAAACCATGCCTGTTAATTCCTGAAGCATTAACTGTATTTTATGATTGGTGAAAAAATCTTTTTAGACATTGGTGTTTTTAACGCAGCACCCAAATGTAGGACTGCAGCTTAAGTCACTACCTATATTGTAGGTTGGGGATGAGAAGGGCTCAATTTACCATTGCTCTGAACCCTGTGTAGCCATTTACATAAGATTAAATGGGAATAAAACATTCCTATTCTGATAATGTATTATTTTACACTTATTTTGCATTCATTTGGCCAGGCCCTGGTGTTAATGACTATACAAGGTCCAGGACAATGATGAACCAGGCTAATGCCTTTATGAATCCTAGGAAATTCAGGCCTGTAACTCATTTGCACGTCATATCATATGTTCCTGCAGTATTCACATAGCTCCGCTGGCCTGAGATAAGGTGGAAAGAGGCTACGGAGCTAACAGCAGACTTCTGGGGGAGTCCAGTGCTACCCTCAGAGATAGACTCTTATAGTCTGTGCATACCACAGACACAAGAATCACAGTTGAACCTCGTCTCTGCTCAGGGGCACCATGGCTTTTTTTGTGTGCCTTTCTTCTCCTTGTGTACTTGTGCAGGACTAAACAACACCTATTCCTAAACAAAGAAGAACTAATGAAATGGCTCAGGAGCAAGACTAAATTTTGAAATTGCTTTAGCAGCTTAGCAATTCTACATGCTCAACATACCCATGGTTTCAGATAAGAAAATAAAAGATAACTAACCAGTACCTAAAAGAAGATTACTTTATATTTTTGAAGATCATGGGGCTGATAAACGTTTGTCAGGAATTGCCAAACAAAACCTTAAACTGGATTAAGATAATTTTAACTAAAACTTTGTAATCAGAAAACCTTAAACATAAGCAGAGCAAGCATAGCATGCATTTAAGAAGCAGGATTAAGAAGAGTTGTACAAATAATTCATTGTTCAATTTTGTGTCTAAACCAGAAAATTAAAACAAAAATTGTTTGGGGTTTAATGAAATATGTGGTTTGATTTTCAAGGTCTACTTTATAAAATCTTTAAAAAACAAAACAAAACTGAAGCAAAATTAAAAAAGGAGAGGCATTTCCAACTGAAAAATTGAAACATTTTGTTCTGAAACTGTTAAAATAAAAACATAGACATTCTGGGATCTCCCCTCTCATTTTCTTGACCAAAACAATTCAGTAAATTCAACACAAATTTGCAATATATTTCAGTCAACCTGAATAGGAAATTGTAGGTACAAAAACCAAACCAAACCAAAACCAAAACCAACAAAAAAACAAAAGGCATCTGAACAATGTTGCCCAGTTCTAGGAGTAAGAGTCAGACTCCATCTGAGCACTGGTAAATTCCATTGGCTTTAGTGGAAGCTTGTGTGTTGTGCAGCACCCAGGCTTTCACTTCTAAGATTCAGCTTCAACTGATATTGCTACATCACCTAGTTGCTTAAGCTTATTATTCCCTGCTGCAAGGAGAACATCCCCTCCCCCCCCCACCCCCCCCCAACACATAAACATACACATTCCTGAAAAGAACACAAACCTTGCCCACAGTTATTGCAAGTCCACCAATTGGGGAAAAAAAGGGGAGCTGTTTTTCCACATAATTACCCTAAAAGAGGCTGCATTCTAGCATTGGCACATTGGTTCACAAGTACAGTGTACACTAAGTATTTTGGGATCTGGCAAGGCTGATTTACATGATTTTACACCAGCATTAATTACCAGACTTGCACAGAGAACGTACACAGTTTGTGCATAGAAACAGTGAACAGGCATAGGTATCAAATCTTACTGTTACCTCCTTTGACCCAAACAATTTGCCAAATTTGGGGTATTGTGGGTTATTTCAGTAAAAGGAGAAACTGATAATGGAGTCAGCTATGTTCTCTTATGCAATCTTGTTTCTTTACAAGGAGTGAACAAAGTCCTGTTTTTCCAAATGCAGGAGGAACCAAACAAAATGAGATTCTTATACATAAGAGGCAGCAGGGCTGCTCCTTGCAAGTCAGACTTCTGTATCAAATATCAATGGACTACACAGCTTACTTCTCAGAGAGATACATACCAGATGTGTTCGCTGTATGCTCCTTTAATGCTGTGATAGGTATGGCAAAGTTTAGCTTTAAATAAGATATTTTATACATAAACTGGTGGCATTAAGTTTTACATTCCTACCATGTAGAAAAATATGAGCTACCACACTAACTTTGAAGTTCAGTAGTCAGTCTGTTAAGTGTTTGGGAATTATACTGGTTTTCTCCTTGAACATGTAACAACATAATCATCTGGTTTTCCATAGGTTGGAATGACTGGCTGTGGTTGGTTTGGAATCTCAGTCCTCTTCTTGTTCTGCATCCATCAGCTGTAGAGTTTGCTCTGTTCATTGTTCTTTCTAATGAACAAACTGTGCATGCAGATGGTTTTTGTTGAACTCTCTACTATCAGTCTAATTCACATATGATCTGAGTGCTCAATGTCCATCCTTTGTCTTCATCCAATTAGATGCAATCATGATAGCCAGGTTCCAAATGTGGCAGTTCTTTGAGTGGCATCTCTTTTTTTTCTTTTTATTGGATTTGGCTACTTTTTACATGCCTGGGCACTTTGGAGATTTGTTATGACTTTGAAAAGGAATCTTAGTTGTGAGGTATCTTCCAATCAAAGGTACTGCTGAACTATGTCTAATAGCTGCTGTTGGTGTTGATGAATAACTCAGTAATGCAAAAAATGGGGTTTCTTGGCTGTCTGAATAGCTCCCTTAGTCTCTCCATTCACTTGTGAGCCATGTGCACAGCTAGAAATGTGATCAAAATCATATTTCATTCAGAATGAGAAATTTTGTTGCACTGTCTTGTGGAGAATAAGTGAATAGTAAGAGTTTATTATTTCTATATTCCTGGAAAAATAGTTCATCATGGCCAGATAATGATGCCCTCTGAATTCACATAAACCTGCAGTTAGTCTCTTTAGAGGTTTCTCTGGTGGGACACTGTATGGTTCAAGCTTTGTCTCTTAGGCTACATTTTCACTAAACGGATCTATACTGCCACAATTGATCTTCTGGAGTTTGATTTAGCTAGTCTAAATTGAACTCAGAGGGCGCCCCTGTTGGCAGCCCGTACTCCTGCTTCTGTGAGAAGTAAGGGAATCTGATGAGAGTGTTTGCTCCCATTGGCCTCCTACTGTGGGAATGGCAGGGAAACTTTAAACAAGGTGCATCAAATCCAGCTATAAACAACATAGCTGGAGCTGTGTATCTTGATTCGACGTTCAATTTTAGTGTAGACCTGACTTTAGATTGATATGTATTGGATTTCCTTTCAGAAGTCCAGTACCATCAAATCCTTTATTGAGTTCTCTACTTTATCAAGAGAGGCATCATAGCTGTTACACCGTGATCCCTTGAACTCTAAATGTAAAGCTTTTGTCTTAGTAAGTTGTTTTTGTGATAAACTGGCTCACACGGTTGAGAATACTATCAGAGCTGTGTTGGGCAGAGTTTAAGGTGACTGTAAATCCCTTCTGAGATAATAGTGATGTCAGCTTCTTGAAACAATTTTCAAGTCAAAAGTCTTGCTGTGGATATACAGCTTCACTCTCTAAGCAGGTTCAGTACAGTCATTAGTGATAGATAACAGAAACAATGGCTCTTGATTGCCTTTAAGATGAGTCAACTTCCTGACTGCTTTGGTGTGGCAAACAATTGTGAAATACATGTGTATATATTACATGCCGCACTTCGATCTGAACATGCACCTTCTCTTGGGATATGATTTTTTCACCACATATTGTGCATGTAGGCTGCCATTTGTCCATTTGAGCGTCTCCCTACTTTAGGGATTTTATTATAATTACTTTTAGCACTCAGGTTTCTGCTTACAACTTCTATGTTAGCTTCAGGTTATTCAAGTTATTCCCCTGCCTTTCATTCTGCTGTTTATCTTGTTCAGTCTGCTTTGCTATCTGTACAACTGTGGTTAGGATTAAATCTGTTTTAAATTGTAGCTGCTGTGAAAAACTATCTGTTAAATCAAAAACCAGCCTGTCTCTGATATGTTCTGAAGTACCAAAATCATAGTTTCTAGTCAATACATGCAGAGATCTTATAAGCATTCAATTTTTCCTTTGATTTTTGAATTCTTTGGTGAAAACACATGTTCTTTCATAAGCCACATTAGTTTGAGACAAAGTTTGCATAAAACATAGCCAGAACCTTTTCATAACTATGTTTGTAATGGTCTCCAGCAAAATCAAAGGATTTAAAGATGTCTGTTTCACAAGACCCTAAATTAAAGATGATACATGAATATCTCCAGTTTCGTGACAGAGCTTTGTAGCAATTTTAAATCTCACAAAACATTGTTTTCAGTCTGTCCATTGTGAGGGTTTCTCAATCTTATTGCTCTCTGGGATATTGAAGATTGGCATACTGATGAAATCCTGAAATTTTTGTTGCTTTATTCTGTTTGCAACTTCTGTAATTTTGTTGCCTCTGTTTGATCTGCTCTGGTACTAGCTTATTCCCAATATTATATCATGTTGGTGTTGCTGGAATCCCCCATTGTCGTTGATGTATAAGGGTAAGTTTGTTTCAATGTCGTCTTGTACTGATGTAAACAGATGCAAGGTTCGCTGATGTCCACAACCTGCTTTCTTCTCCTATGCTTCTCTTTGGTGTTTTCTGTTGTGTTATTTTCTGTTATTTTCAATGGCTTTTACTGTAGACCAACAGCTTAGCCACCATCTTAATCTATCAATAGCAGCAGTTTCTTCTACATGGGAAGCTGCATGACTGATACTAGTAAGCCAGGATTCTTTATCAGGTATAGATTTATTACAAACCTTACTTCTCAGCAATATTAACACCAGACATGTTCACTAGGCTGTATGATCCTTTATTTAGTGCTCTACAAGGTTTGGCTAAAGATAGCTTAAATAAGGTATTTTTACACAGCACCACCTAGTGGTTGACCAGTGTAATATGGTTTAGCATACCATTTACATCAGTGTTTCTTGAACTTTTTAAGACAGAGGAACACCAAACAATGTTTTTTTATGGGGAACACCAAGGATTTTTTTGTTGAGCAAAAAAAAATAAAAAAAAAGGAAAGCTTGCCCCTTTAAGGGCAGCCATGCCCAAGGGAAAAGTTATTGAGCCAAAAACAAACAAAAAAAGAACGGGGAAAAGAAGTTGTTAAACAAAAAAACCCGAACAGTTTGCCCTTTTATCAGGAGAGCAGCCATTTTGAACTCGGTTCAGGCATTGCCCTTTTAAGGGCTGCCATTTTGAACTCTGTTCTGTGCGGCACACCTCCAACTGCCTCGCAGCATACCACATTTTAAGAAACACTGATCTACATGTTTTGTTAGTCTATAAAGTGCTACCAGACTATTTGCTGTCTTTTAACTTCTTTACATTCATTCTGAATGCAAGGTGATGATTATGCCCAAGCCATAACAAATAATTTAATCCAACCCACAATGATATAGCATCAACGTTTAATTTGCTAACATAGGGAAATTTTCAAAGCACAAAGGGTTGTTATGTTAACATTTTCAAAAGTGCCTGAGTGATTTAGGAGCCTATGTACCATTGACTTTCATTGAGGCATAAGCCCTTAAGTGGAATTTGGGTTCTAAATCACTTAGACACTTTGGAAATTTGAATCTTATGTGCCTTAGTATGAGTCGTAATGAACGGGGGTGGATGTCTAACTCACGTTTTTGCCTTTGAAAAATCTTTATAATTAAGTTTATGTATATACAGTAACATACACACGCACACACAGAGACATATGGTATTACATACCTCAAAGGGCAGACTGTGAGCCAGTTTAATACATCAATGCAGAGAGTTAGATCTCTTTTACATCTTACATGGCCATGCAGTGTGGCTCAAGTGCAGAAAGGAGAGCAGGGCTACTGCACATAACACTACTCACTCTAGTTGGGGCAGATAGTTGGGGTGAGGCCCTTGGCTCTGCTCTCCTTCCAAAGTGCTAGTCAGAAACAAAGGGGGCAAGTAAACTACACTTTTTTTCAGGGCTTCAGTAAGTTAGTTCCTGACTGGAGCAAGGGACAAAATAAGAAAGAGTTGTGACTCTAAATCACCACTAATTATCAACTTTTTATGTACCGTGTCACACTTAGGGCTGGGACTAAAGGCTCATTTTAGCACCATATGCGATATTTTACTGCACCCATTTTCACTAAGTAATATTGCAACTTTCTAAAAAAAATCCTCCTTTACAGTTAAGTTCTTACACACTTAACTTCTTCGACACTTTTTCTGGAAAACTTGAAGAAAAAACAGACATTTTTTAATTAAGGGTAAGTGGGGGAAAAAAATCTTACATTTAAAAAAGTATTTTTTTAAATGTAAGATTTTTTTTGCTTAAAAATGGCAAAAAAAATATACTCCAAACTTGATGTGTGCCTGGTCCTACATGAGAAAGTGTCTTTTTATGCATTTTGAATAAATAAATTATTGAAAAATAACTTCTGAGCATATTCAGTGGGCATCTGGTAAGATTCCAGAAATCTGAGAAAGCCTCACCCTCCGTGTAATGCATGACTAGGGCAAGGAGAATCTCCATTTTCCACCTGCCACATGCAAAGGTTGTTGCTAAACAGGCGAATGACTACTTCCCAAGAAGGACTGTAAGGCCATGGTGTCCAACATGCTAGTCACTAGCCACATGTGGCTATCTGGCTGGTTGAGTGTAGCTAGTTCGCTATAGTGGCTACTGCTTCAGAACTGGTTGGACATCATGGCTTTAAAGGTCTAACTGAGAACAACTTAGTAAAATCAAAATCACCCTAAGCATTAATACCATATATGGGGGAGGGGGGAAGACTGACTTAAACCTGAAATATTTTGATTCATGAATGTGCTACAATGCCTCCTGAGAATTTTGTCAGGGACCTTATGCTGTCATTCTGATCAGACAACATTTCCCATGAAGTAGCAGGTCTAAGGACTATGACATACCACTCAATTCAGGAAAAGTAAATTGATGCATCATGGGAAATGCAATGAAGTTAAAATAGTCCAAGACATAAAGGAGAATGGAAGCATAAGACATCCAAACTACAACTCCCATTAGGCACCGTGTCAACATTTTGAATTATAATATTGCGATATTAGTCAAAATATTTTTGTTTTTAGCAATAATTCCTTGTCAGTCAACATTTTCTGTAAAACTAGCTCCTTATTTTGTGACTTCCTCTATGCACAATATAATATTTTAATGATATTTTCAGCTATTTTGCCTGAAACAGTGTGTGTGTTGATAGCACAATGGAATAACTTTTCATAAAACTCAAAGAGAAGACTCGAAGGGCATATCTACGCATTGGGAGTGGGCTAGTCTACTAGACATGGGCTAGACGGGCGCATGCTAACAATCTAAATACAGCTGGGTAGAAAGTGCTCTGAAATTATGACTCAGGTTCTGAAGGCCTAGGGTTGGGGGTGTGTTTCAGAGCCCAAACTCCAGCCTGAGCCATAACTTCAAAACACTATCTACACAGCATGAGCCCTGCTAACTCAAGTCTGTTGTCCTGGTCTGGAAGGCTCACTTTTGCTCGCTGCTGTGCAAACACAGCTGTGCAGATTTGGTTCTTATCTTGTTCAAAGCAGTACAGCTACTCAAATGTAATACACTGTATATTCACTTTAACACTAAATAGACCATGTAGAGCCTGTTATCAGATATCAAATATCTTGAATTATATGTGCATTAGAATGTATTATTGCAGGTTTAGCTATTTAAAAAAATAATCCAGTTACAGGTAGGAATATATACTGTACTCAGAAAGAGATAGAACTTAGAGCTGAAACAGACCTAGATTCAGCCTAGTCCTAACTCCCCAATCCAACTGCAGAATTTGGTGCTTTGTTCACTTTGGTATTCAATGTCCAAATGCTGACATTTCCACCACTCTCTTTGGAAGACTTCTACAGTCTAATATTGTACTGCCAGAATTTTTTTCTTACTGATATTCAGCCTAATAATTATTTTCTTAATTTCATCCTATTACTCTTAGTTGCCCACTGATACCATCTTAAATAACTACCCCTCTCTTCCAATATTGTTATATACTATAATTTGTTTATACTATGAGAAAGGGAAGTTTAAAAACTTACTGGCAGAAGCATCCCAAAACTTTATCGATCCGTCTGCATGACTTAAAAAAAATTAAAATGTTGGTTAAAACAAGAAATAGCTACATATAATTTCAGCTCCGAGTTACTGTATTTGTTATATAATATCGTAATTAAATGAGCTTTCCATTATTTGTACAGTGTAGCCTAACCTTTAAATTAACTATAAAATTGCAATGATGCAATCTATATTAGAAGGCCAATTAATCCAAGTCAATAGAATAAATCAGTTTAACTGATTTGTAGCGTACACACATACCAAAGGAAGTAAACATTGACCGTATGTTACTCCAATTATTGTTGCCACGTGACTGTTGTATAGGATTTCACATAATTTTAAACTTTTTAGGAGAGAGAGCTCTCACATACACTTTAACAGTAGGTCTTTTTAAATAGAAAAGCTCACGTGGATAAAAGACAAAAAAAATTAAGAGAAATTCCCAGACTTTTAATACATGACATATACCACAAAATAGAGTCTCCGAAGTAGCCTGTAAATTAGTTTTTTTTTTAAAACTGTGCCATGAGAGTACTCTTCTTTTTGAAAGTCACTGTTTATTTCGAGGTCCATTATATATAACCTCCAAAAAGGCCAGATTCTGCTATACTGGGTCACAGTAAAGCATTTGAAAGAACACCACACAAGAAAATATTAACTAAATGAATATGGGCAGCTGCACAAGAACTGTAAAGTGGATAAGCAACTGGCTAAATGGGAGAAGGCAACAAATTATTCTAAAATGTGGTCTTATGGGAGGAAAGTTACTAGTGGAGTTCCTCAAGGATCAATCCTGGAACCAATTTTGTTCAATATTTCCATTAACGACCTAGACATAAAAGGTAGGAATGTGCTAATGAAATCTGATGATGATACAAAGTTGGAAGGCATCACCAATACAGAATAGGGATGGAAGATTGTAATGGAAGATCTAGATCACCTTGAGGACACAAATGACAGAAATGGGATGAACTTTAATAGTATAAAGTCCGGGATCATGCACTTAGGAACTAAGAGGAAGAAATTCTGCTACAAGGTGGGGGGGGGGCATCAGTTGAAGCAACAGAGAAAGAAGGAAAGAGCTGAGTGTATGGGTAACTCACAGGGTTACCATGAGCTATGAATACGACAAGGCTACGAAAAACACAAATGTGATCCAAGGATGCATCATGTGAGCCATTTCCAATAGAGACAGAAGTATTAATGTAGAAGTATTAATGGCACTGTGTAAGGTTCTGGTAAAACTTCGTTTGGAATATCCTGTACAGTTCTTGTCACCCATGTTCAAGAAAGATTAATTCAAACTGGAAGAGGTGCAGAGAAGATTTGCTAAGGTGCTCAGGTTAATGAAGGGCTTATTTTATAAGAGGAGGCTAAAGAACGTGGTCTGTTTAGCTTAGCAAAAAGAAGGCTGAGAGGGGATATAATTGCTTTCTATAAATACTTCAGAAAGCTAAACACATAGGAAAGTGAAAAGCTATTTCAGCCAAAGGACAATGTTGGCATGCAAACATATGTATATAACCTGGCCATGAACAAATCAGAAACCTTCTAAATTTCAGTCTCACTGTCAGAGGAGTGAAGTTTTGAAATAGTCTCGCAAGAGAAACTGTGGGGACAAATTAATTACTTTTCAGAGAAAGCTTGACAAATAATGAGTGCAACTGTATGGTTGGGTTGCTTGCTTATGATGGTAGGAGATAGGGATGGTTAACTGGTTAGCCTCAACAGGTGAAGTGTATTGGCTACAGTTAAGTGGTGGGTGCAGCCCTCATTTTTGGCAGGGGGGCCTCCACCCTCTCCGTTTAATTGGTTAGCCAGTTAAACATAATGTTTAACTGGTTAACTAATAAATGGGATTTTACATCCCGAGTAGGGGACAGGGTTCATCAGCCCAGGGCTCACTTCTTGTTTATGTCTTATGTTCCTAAAGATCATGCTTCAGGGCTTCAACTGACCATCTGCCAGGGTCAGTAAGGGATTTCCTCCAATCCCACAATCTATTCCTCTAAAACATCATAGATGGCTATGGCTGGAGATAGGACATAGGCCAGTGTTTTGAGGTGGAACTGAGCATTCTCCCTCTCAGGTGCTTGGCTGGCCAATGCTTGCTCAAACGCTCAGAATCCAGGGTCAGCACCTTTGGCATGTGGCCCATCAGAGTAATCCATAGGCATGAGCCATCAGACATTTTGTTTACATTGACCGCCCACAGGCACAGTCTGCCGTAGCTCCTAGTGGCTGCAGTTTGACGTTTCCAGTCAGTGGAAGCTGTGGGAAGGACTAGCAGTGCAGAAATCAAGGTAGCAACAGGGCACTAAATTGGCTGTGAAAAATGATATTGACAAATATCATTACTTCGATGCTGCTGTCATGACACTGCCTTTGGTGCAGGGTGGTGAATATGTACTTGTGGAGGGTGGGAGATTGTAAATGACTACACACAAAAAGTGGGGCTCTATCAAGTAACTTTGAGAACCACAGTACTAGACCGGGGTTCTCAAACTTCAGTGCACTGTGACCTCCTTCTGAAAACAAAAATTACTACACAGCATCAGGAGGGGGTAGAGGGAAGTCTGAGCCCACCCAACCCCTACTGCTTTGGGTGGGGGAGCCAAAGCCCAACCCTTTGCCCCTCTGCCCCAGGCCTGGGAGCCAAGGCCAACACCCCAGGGCTTCAACTCTAGCAGGGGGCCTATAACCTGAGCCTTTGCAACCAGGGCTAAAGCTCTTGGCTCCAGGCAGTGGAGTTTGGCCTTGGGCCTCAGCAAATCTAACACCAGACCTGGCAATTCCATTAAAACAGAGCTGCAATCCACTCTGGAGTCCTGATCCACAGTTTGAGAACTGCTGGACTAAATGATACGGTATCCCCCTTCTGGTTCTGAAATTTTGTTTGAATAAATATTACCTTGCCAATGATTATCCAATATTTATGGTAGTTCATGAAACAAAGTTGAACATATTCTAATCCAGTCATATTTGTGTATTAATAAATTACAAATTGAAGAAATTAATCATTATGTCTGACAGAGCTCTTTTAGTTCTCTGGCAGTTCTAAAAAACTGGGGAAAAAATCTTTTTGGGTCAGAATGAAAATGAAATTTTAAAAACTGTCAGCAAGTCAAAAAGTAAAGGAAAATAATTTGGGGTTCAATGAACTATTTTCTTGGACCTGAAATGAAACATTTTATTTTGGTTTTTAACATTTTTTCAAGTTTTCAATTTTTTTAAATAAAAGGAAATTATGAATAAAAAATCATTTAGAATATATTGTTTTTATGTTGAAATAAAATGTTTCAGGTTTATTTTTAAAAAGGTTTTTCCTACCAAACAATTTGGTAAAACCGACATGAATTTTAAAAGCATTTTGGTGTCTCCAAACCTTCATTTTCACAAAAAAAATGTTTTGCACAAAACATTTTGCCCAGCTCTAATCTCTAGTTTTTCATAACTATATCTGTAAGGAAATGTCTGGCTATCAAACTGCTTAACCCAGTAAAACACAATATTTTATAGCAGTTAGCACAAACTAATTCACATCCAAACTTATGCTTTTCAATTAATACTCTATGGATAAATAAAACAGGGAATTAGAAAGAGAATTACTAGTATGAGAAAAATTATGAGTAACCCCAATATGGACAAAATTAATATTCTACATGGGTGGCATTTCTGAATAAATAAAACTTATTCCAAGAGTTGACAGTCATGATGAGTGCTTAAAAACACAGAACACTTTAATCCTGTAAATATTTCTCCACTCACGCATCTGAGTCATCCAGAATTGTTCCTGAGCCTGTCACTGCAATATGATCCCCTGCACCCTCCACTTTTTTCTACTTCAGAGCTGTGCATTACATGCACAATCTAGCATGAAAGGTAAAGATCACACCAATGCACAGCAGTCACACAAATTAAGGGACATTAACACTAAATAGGTTCCAGCTACAATCCAGCCACAGGACCCCCAATAAACCACAAGACCACTTCTGTAGAAAGCTTGTGGTACTCTTACCTCTCAGTCCTTCTAATGCTACTACCTCCCTAAAAACCACTGAGGACTATAGCACTCTCTTACATCTGCCACCTCTTCATGGGTACAAGGGCCATTTACTGGCTTACAGCCTCAGTCCATAGTTCCTGTATTAATATATTCTTGAGTTAGGGTTGCCAGCCCTCCAGAATTGTCTGGAGTCTCCAGGAATTAAAAATTAATATTCAATTAAATATTATGTCTTGTTATGAAACCTCCAGAAGGACATCAACCAGAACTGGCATCCCTACCTTGAGCACATGGCTCTATATGCTACTTAAGACAATCATTTGGGCTTAAGACCTTCATAAACACCTCTGTGGACCCTCTGTATTGGGGTGAATTTCACCCTAAAAGTAATATAAATGTCTGTTATGTAATGGTGTCAGTGTTCATACTCTCAGCCAACTATATTGTGAGACAGATAGGGCTGACCTATAAATGTACATTATCAAAAGTTCTACTAGATATTAACATTTGCAAAAGTACAACTCTTCTGTTTCATTCTTACCCTGTAATAATAATTTCAGGATATGTCTGTGTTCCTAGGTTCCATGCTCCCCCACTGATTGGCCATTCCTAAACACAATTACAAGAGTTCATAGAAAACAGTTATTTCTTAAACTGTGGAATGCACACTTTAAAAATGAGGGTCATCATAACAAATTATTCTAAAAAGGAATATACCTAATTTATAAAAATGAAGAGGTTGTAACATTATCTTGATCATTTTAAATACATTTATGTACATGTAACTTCTGATTGTTTATATTATCTATCCTAAATCTTTAAATCATCTAGTAGAAGGTTCTGAATTAACAACTTTTCAGACTAAAATTCTTTATAAGAAGGAATAATAATCAATTCATCCTTCTGTTGGATTCACAAGGGCTCATCCTTGGCATTTCAGTAGGACTCTGCATAAGAATAACAGTCTTCTTGTGAAGATCCAAATGCAGCATTGGGGCTTCACATTTTACACTCTTTGTGCCATGCACAGTGTTTTTACTCCCTGTGGACCAGACTGTGGAACCCTTACTCAGTGAAATCAATGAGATCCCTTGTGAAATAAGATTC